CAGGCAATCGAGGCCTTGGCCTGGGAGCTTGGCATCGTCTGCACTGTCAACTCCGGCGACCCCTCCCGAAACAATGCGGGGACTCCGTTCCTGTCGGGGAACAGTTGCTACTATTGGGATCCGAACACAGCGGCTTCGCAGGTAGACTGCAGCTCCGTGAAAAGCACCAACCGCAGGCCATTTTGCTTTTGCAAGACCCTGCTGCCGGAAGACCGCTAGGTACCACATACATTTTGGCTTCTGTGCTTCTGCTAAGCCCGATGTCAGCTTGATGGCTCTGGGGAGCAGTGGCGCTTTGATGCTGACCTGCAAAGCAGGCATTGTTTAAGCCGGGTTTTGTCATCCAGGCAAAAAGCCCTGAAGAAGACGCGACTTGCTTGGAAAAAATCCTAAGAATAGTGGCAGGCAGTCAGTATCCATGCTCCGGTGTTGCCAGAAGAAGTCTTGCGATTTCCACAGCCCATCATGTGCAGCAGGTCTTCCAGCACATGCATGGACTTGACGTAGTTTACAGCACATGTTTGGTCCAGATTTCGGGAAGGCTTGATGAAGGGATCTGTGTATGCTGAATGTACGCCCATGCAAGCGGACGTTGAGACGAGTTGTAAGTACCCACTCCCGCTGCTGACATGGCCATGGCGTCGTCGACACGCAGGCCTCGGAGTGAAGAAGCCTCCACTTAAGCGCCACAGAAAACCTACAAACGACTTGGGAGGCTTCTGATATTCGGGGATCCTGTTGGGGTATCCTTAAACAACGATCCAAATTACGAGGAGGTTTACATGGAGAATCATCAGAACGAGTGGGAAAGTTTACATATACCTACGTCGGGGTTTTTAAGAAGCTATAACTTGAGGTGCCTTAGCTTATGACTATTACCCCGTAAACTCGGTCCCCTCATCCTTCAAGGCGTGGCCGTTGTAGCTTGGCTCGATGGATCCGTCGAGCTCTTACCTTAGGCCCAAACCCCAACCCCAGCTCGCAAACGTCGTGGGAGGAGTGTGCGTCTGGGTCTTCCAAGTAGACTGGGCATGATAGTCTCATCCTGTGCGAACTGTGCTGTTGGGGCTTCGTTTTCAGGGTCTTGGGTCTCTAAGTTTGTAGTCTATGAGCACCCTTGCCTCCGCGGCCTATTACTTCAACGCGACATTGCAGTGTCTGATGGTCTCGGGCATGCTGCTTGACTTCTGCTCCTGTCCTGTTACTTGCCTCTCGTGCAGCATTTTTTCTCTTACCTGTAGTTCGCAACACAATGAGTGAGCCATTTAGGTGACTACTGCAGATCTTGCAATTACCTGGTCGCTGCACTTATCACACGCTTTTCCGCTCGTTTTTATGGTGAAGCCCTGACTTGACAAGACTGGTTGCATCATGCTCTCTCCGCCTCTGCGCCTCTGCGCCTCTGCGCCTCTGCGCCTCTTCGCCTCTGCGCCTCTGCCTCTCTCTCTCTCTCTCTCTCTCTCTCTCTCTTTCTTCTCTCGCTGCATACTATACATATACATATATAAATATATGTATATATATATACACACACATACTTACCACTCAGCTGCCTACCTGCATAACAAGTCGAGCCACCTGCCGTTGAATGGAGGAAGCACGTGGTGCTGTTCCTGGCATTCGTTGTCAGCGTGCTTTGGATGCACATCCTTTGTTTTCGTCTTCACGAGTTGCTGTTTTAAAGTTTGGGGTGATATGTTCAACATGTTGCTTGACAATTGCCGTAGAACTTTATTAGCCTATGAGCTGAGCAACCCAGCATATGCATACCAGAAATGGCTCATTTGTGATAACTGCAGCAGTAGTCAGCAGTCCCCCAAAAATCAGTATACACAGGTATCAATGGTAGTGTGGAGTCAAAACCCATGTTGCATGTTTTGTCGGTCTCAGTCGAAGCAGTCGTCAAAGTCATAGTCATACAGGCTCCGAATGATGTTTGCATCTGCGTAGTCGTCATCAGCATTATCGTCACTGTCACCATGCTTAGCATCCTCATGTTCTTCGTCTTGATCAGCTTCATCGACTCATCATCTTTCCCAGTCTCATAATCATCCTCATCAGCTTGCTCCTGCCTACCACTGCTTAGCTGCTAACTGCTACCGCTGCCTGCTACATGCTGCTACTGCGACTGCTGCTAATACTGCCGCCCCTATGTGAACACTGCCTCTACTACGACAAGGACAAAACGAGACTACCGCGAACATGCTATGCCCACTCTGTTGCTGGTCCTGCGACCGTTGCTGCGCAGCCTGCACTGCAAATATCGCAGCGGCAATTTCTGATTGCTCATGCATGCTCCTAGAATCTACTAAACGTATCGTGGATCCTCTGTGTGCCACATGTTGGTGGTTTTGAATCTGCATCGGAATTCGAGGATTTGGGGTCAAGGTGTGGGGTATTGTGTCCACTCTTTGCTGGCGACGACAGGCGCATTGACTCCCAAACACCGAGCCATCGATTCCTGAATCCTTCGGTCCCGAGGCTTGGGCAGTGTCTGAGGGTTGAGGCGTTTGCTCCTGAAATCCGGAAGGCCCAGACCCGCAATTCGATCCCGTTTACAGACCCATATAAAACCTTATCAAACCCTTCTCAAAGGTCGCTGTGATGCTGGCTCCACCGCTGGCTGCCGTCACTGCGGGTTCGGCCCCTGCAGCAGGTACGCTGACTTCTCGCTCTTTTAAATGACTTGTTTTCGCTGTGTTTAGGATTCCAGGATTTAGATCGTTCGTGAAACTGCATCATGAGTTTGTTATTATCATGACGAGTATAATTGCTAGTATTACTGTTTAGCGTTCGAAGAAATTTGATAGGACTTTCGAAAGTATGTGCTTAGGGTTTCGGATCGTGAGCAAAGGATGTTGGGAAAAGGCTTCACGCAGGCCCGTCGTGGAATGCGGCATCACTTGAGGGACAGGCTGTCGTGCTACCTTCAATCGGACATCAGCCTGTGATGATTGTCTAACGGCCTTTTGTGTTGTTGGCCTATGTTGCATGCTTGCCAGTGCGGGGCTAACCCTAGGCCTTGCAGCATCGGAGTTTCTTCCGTGGATGCGGATCAGCAAATATCAGTGCTGTTGGTGTTGGTACTCAGGTCATCTTCCCTTGGCTAAGGTTTGAGTGCTGTGGGCTAAAGGGTCAGGGTTAAACGAGAACCCTGGAGAGGCTTGAAGGAAGCTTCAACAATAGGGATACCGAGAATTTTCTGCACTCGGCCTTTGGAAACTCAAACATCGTCCTTCCCTCAAAGCCCTGTCAGAGCTCTCATAAAAGCAGTTACAATCCTCGTATCAAGCTCTGATAACTCTTTCACATCCTGACAAACTTATGCAAACTCAGGTCCTGTTAGATGCCGACCCTACAGAAACATCAGTCATATACTCGAAGCCCGGATTAAATCGGTATGACCATTCCCCTTCTACGTCATCTCAACTGTGCCATAAAACTGCCAATGACTCTTCTAAGAGGTTCACGAACGAAATACAGTTCTGCTCGCTAAACTGCAAAGCCTTGACTTTGTTTTAGACATCCAGCGAAGCAAGCCCTAAACCAACACCCAAAAGCCCGATACTCAGAACCACCAAGCAGTAACACGATAATAATAATATAACACAGCATACTACAATATATATTACATTACACTACATTCCCTATAGGTTCCGTATGTTTGTTTGAACTTTTGGTCTCCAGTTCGCTCAGAGGCCCGAGCGGCGCCTCCGTGAACATGGGAGCTCTGGCGCTTTGCGTCACTTCGGCTCAGAGTTTTATTGAGTTTAGGGTTTAGGCTTTAGGGTTTAGAGTTTAGGGCGTCGGGATTTGGGCCCCGAGCCCATTCGGGGTGGAAGTATTATTATTGCGCAGGTGAGTCGGGCCTTGGATGCTCACTCCGGTTAAAGCTTATTCCGCGGATCAGGGGTGCCCGCAACCCTGAACGCTGAACCCTAAATTTTTCAATTCCTGCCCACAGAGCGGCTAGGTCCTAGATCCGAAACTTTGCTGATGAATCCTCTACCTGAGCTGACTTTTTGTTGTCTTGCCGCCGAAATAGAAGACTTCTTGCCTGACTGACAGAGCGAGTTTCTTCTGAGCACATGTTTAGTGTTTCGGGTAGGCTTCGTGAGCTGGAGTCTGTAGTTAAGAACTTGGGATCCAGGGTTCAAGGGTTAGGTCCAGGCAAAGTTCATGATGACGCATTACAAATACGAAGAAGCTGAGCCAAACATCAGGGTGTTTTACTAGACAAGGCTGTAAAGTGAAGAAGTCCAGCGGAGCCGAACATGTAGGCATTCTAGGGTCATGTGCAATTTCACCGGCTGATTGTGTGCTGATGGAAGCAGACCAAGCATCGTAACATGCCATAGGCGGTCATGGGCGCCTACTACGTGCTCTGCTGGCATGATGCAAAGGCGCGTCATGAACAGAACCGGGGTGCTTGTCGCGAGACTTCCTGGTTTTGGGTTGACGACGCAATTGTTCATTGTTTGTAACCAAATCTGAGCATCCTGTCCCCTGATTCTTTGCCCCCGACCATAAACCCCCACTCCCAAACTGTAAAGCTCGAAACCACAGGTGGCGGGCGCCCGTGAGGCTAAAGAAGCCGAGGACAACCATGGTTCGGCTTCGGATCTGTTTACTTAGAGACCCCAACATCCCTTATTAATCAGCGGTCTACATAGCACCCCCTAAGCCCTATCAACATCTCTTGTAAGAAGCTCTGTAAAGCTCTTTAAACACGATTTTGGAACCTGTAAAGAAACGGCCCCATACTCTGCTTCCTTGCCGTCGTTCTGAGCGAAAGCTGGCTGAGGGTATGATGGGTAAGTGAAGCCATACGCATCCAAGGGCATGTTGTCTGAAGTGTGAGTAGAGCAGCATCTCCTCACTTATATCGCAGCTTCTAAGTCTGGTGATCTGTGAACTGGGTCCTCGGACAGAACGACGATGATGCTCTGTCGCTGTTGCAAGCCTGAAGTCTACAGCCGGCACGAGCCCTAAACCTGAGACTTCAAACAAGAACCTTGAAATCCGAAACCCGTACGGCCTTAGTTTGTATTAACCGGACCGCTAGAAGCAGAGGACACGGCAACCGAAACAAAGAAGAAGCCTCGCATCGGCGCGTTGGACAGCCTCAGGCGCTCCGCTTTGCTCGGTTGGTTCCTTCTTCGTGTTTTTTGTTTTTTCGCACAGTGCTTTTGTTTTGAGTTTTTGCTTCGATGATCTGCTGTTCCAGTGCAGGTTTCAAAGAATTCGGCGTTGTGAGGTCCTTTGGACTCCAGCTTCGTGTTGTGGATCTTGCTTCGAGGGGTTTAGGGCTGGGCTTTTGTCTTCGATGTGGGGCCCTAAGCCCTAAACCCCGGAACCCTTTCGGATGTAGCACTTTCAAGGGCCACTGCTGGGCAGTCGGAGCCGCCTGGAGGCCCAGGGTATATCGCAGCCAAGCCTATTAGGGATCGGAACAACTAGCAATAGCATCCCGTTATGGTCCCCATACAGCTATGCTGTATGTTACAGCAAAACTCTAGTCTAAGGTTTAGGCCCGTGCGGGTTCCTGGATTAGCGCTCTAAGCCAGAGAGCCGAAAAAAGAAGGGTGTGTTGCTTGGCAAGCTGATGGCCAAATATGTCCAAATGCCGTAAGGGATTGGGTTCTTTTCGTTTCAGCTTTAGAGTTTGGTGTGGATGACAGTGGCAAACTCAAGTCTTCGGGGTCTCGGTTGGTGCAGGGCCGGATGTAGCTTAGGTAGCTTTAAGATCACAACTTTCTATCCTTCCGATTTCATACGCCCTTTAAAAGCTTTAGAGCCGAGCAGGTTCATTCTGATTGCTTACATCGCCTCCGGCCACTTCATCCACACGGCAACGCGGAACCCCTTCTTGCTGAGGCTAATCTCGCAGGAGCGGAGCCCGGGTGGGGTTTCGAAATCCAGGGTTTACTTCTTCTTGTTCGTACTACACTCATCATCATGATTACCTTTAGCAGGTCAGTATTACCCGCATTAGCAGCAAGGAAGTCGTGGTCGTAGTCGTAGTCCCACTCGCAGTCGCTGTCGCAGTTGTCGTCTAGTCGTGCAGCTGTGTAGCCGTGTTGTCGTGTTAATGCAGTTGTGGTAGCAGTGCTAGTAGTAGTAGTAGTAGTAGTAGTAGTAGTAGTAGTAGTAGTAGCAGTAGTAGTAGTAGAAGTAGTAGTAGTAGTAGTAGTAGTAGTAGTAGTAGTAGCCGTTGGTAAGCAATGTCAGCAAACTACAGAAACCAGTCCCTCAAAGTCTGGGTAACCCCAAACCTACCCTTTGACTTGCGTCCTATGCTCGAAACTCTCGGCGATTCGTTAGAGATGAGCCGCTTTGCGATTGAAGCTTCGGGTCGGGATCTGAATGGTTTAGAGCTTCATGTCCTGCCTTGTGTGGTTATTTCCCTGAGCCTACGGCTTTTGCTACTCTTGTTGCTGCAGTATTCTTCCTTGTTCAGCATTGTTGCTCTCATGTCGTTACATTCAAGCCTTTAGCGTGAATCGGGCCACTTTTGGTTTGGGCACAGGGCTCCCCTTCCAAACGTAGCGTTCAGGCGTCCGGGCCCAAAGGCTTTCAATATCGCTGTATTAAAGGTTCTTGAAAATGCAAGATCTCGACTATAATATTCCTCATATGTAGTTGATGCAGTCGGGTTTCGAAATAGTCTCTTAATTCAGGGGTAGGGGTCTTCAGCTTGCACCTGCGAGATCAACGTGGTGGTCGGCGCCTTCTTCGTGATCTCAGGGTACGTGGCCGCCTATACTACGACGGAGCTGGGGCAGCCCTCCGGATGTGATCAGCAATGAAGATAGAGGTCCCTAATACACACTTAGTTTGGTTATGCAGGCCCACATGTCGTTTTCCAAGTTTTCGAGAGCATCCCCAACCTCTTAGCACTATCACCACGACCACGATGACGACGATGACGACGACGACTACTACTACGCCTACGACGACGACGACTACTACTGCCACTACTACTACGACTACGACTACGATTAAGACGACGACTTCTACTTCTACCTCCATCTTTACGTCTACTTTACCTTTACGTGAATGTCTCTTTCTTCTTCTAGTTCACCTCTACCTCTAGGTCTCCGTGTACGCCTGCCTCTACCTCCATGTCTACGTCTGCTTCTACTTCCACCTCGATCTACTTCTGCTTCTTCTACTGCTGCTGCTGCTGCTCTTGCTTTTTCTACTAAAAATGTTATTACTATTATTACTCTTATTACTACTCTTGCTATTATTACTGTTATTTCTATTATTACTATTATTACTATTATTGCTATTAGTTCTGTTTCTTCCATTATTGCTATTATTACTATTACTACTAGTATTACTAGTATTACTAGTATTTCTAGTATTACTAGTATTACTAGTATTACTAGTATTACTTTGTATTACTATTACTATCCTTATTACTATTATTGCTACTATTACTACTATTACCATTATTACCATTAACTACTACTACTACTACTTCTGTTGCTATTGCTACTGCTACTGCTACTGCTACTACCACCACCACTGCTTGTGCTTTTCTGCCGACTCCTCCTGCTGCTACTACTGCTGATGCTGCTGCAAATCGTTAATCTTTCCACAAGGCAAGCAAGAAAACATGTAGCGATGGAAAGACGTACCAAGGCGGAAGGGCTCCAAGCGCTTGGACAATGCGCACCTCGGCTTTTGTTGTATCCCGACATTCTTGAGTTCAGTGGGTCGGAGGACCGAGTTTTGGCTTTCGGGTTTAGTCTGAAGTGTTCGGGATCTAGGATTTGCCAGAAAGCCTTTAGGAATTCCTTTTGTTACCTTGGGGGGGTCCTTGCGTTTTGAGTTTTTTGGACAATCAGGGTTCCCTAGTTTATGCGGATCTGTGAACTCTTAGTTTTCCGGAATGTCTCTGGTTGTCTTGAGCCAGGGCGATGGCCTTCGGTTCACGGATCTTTGTGGAGTTGTGGGCTTAGGGCCATGGCTATGGGATTTCGGTTTGGGGGTCTCGGTCTCAGAAAAGATGGGAACCTAGTAGAAACCTTGGTGACTAGGACTGAGATCCTTACCTTACATGGCACCGAAATGCATCCCTGGTTTGCCATAAGCATGTCGGAGTCACAGGATGACGATTTCAAGGACAATCCTCAACAAGCCACACGGAAGGGCGCATGCACCTCTTTGAACCCAGACCCTAGCCTTCACTACTATACACTAAACCTTAGACCTGTCTGCGAGGGTTGAGTTCGTGATCACTCGCATCATGGGCCACTGGCCCTTGCACATCGTCGTGCTGCTGCTCTTCTCCCCCGTGCCCCTTTGGCTAAAGGCCCCAACAGATCCTGTCAGAGGTTTTGCAACTTTTTGGACAGGGTCTGCTGGGTTTTTTGCCCGGTCATGGATCTCACAATCAAGGGCTTTCTGTAACACAAACACAGGATGCTCATGTTGATGTGTTTTTGGCCTTATGGCTACTGAGAGGGGAGAGTGTGCGGGGTGGCTTGGCTAGGTGAGTTGGGGGTGTGGGGGTTGGGCGACTGTAACCGTAAGCCTCAAAACGAGACCTAAACAGAAACCCCATACTTCTTTGTCACTGTTGGGGCCTTGTCCGCAGTTGGAGGAAGTTTGGATTCAAAGGCCTCACGCTCTCAAAAGGCTTGAGGGTTCTGCTTTAACTCATACTGCCCAGAGTGCCAAAGCCCGTCACCCTCTAACTCGAAAAACGCTGAGTCCTGAACTTCGACCACAGGGCCCCAAACCCTAAAACCGACTCCAACTTCGATCTTGGAATCCGTCGGACCTGAGTCCGCAGGACGGACTGGGCAAAAAAAGGGTATCCACAGAAGCCGATACCGCTGAAGCAAGGAATATGCTAATCGGAAGCCCGCCAGCCATACAGAAGACACAGGCTGTAGCAGACGCCACAGTAAGACCACAGTAAGACCCCCTAAACTCACAAAAGCTTTCCTGCTGGGTGGACCCCGAGCCGACATCCACAGCTGAGGTTCTTGTTCGTGGACATCTCTTATAGTGTCTGGGAATGCTGAGAGCAATAGGGCTCTGGGGCCTGAGGGCACGGTTCTTAAGGGCTTGAGGATGTGCATACTCAGGATTCTTTTTTTAGAGGACCATGGATCGCCCGAAAATCAGCCAAGTCCGTGAACATGTCCCAAAATGTTGATGCTGGCGTGCGTCTTTTCTTCTTTGGTCAGCGGCTGGGTCTAGTCAAGGCTACGCAGGGGCAGCGCAAAGGGTTGTTTGTTGTGGTCGACGACATATTTCTTGGTGGGATGAAGGCTGGAACTCGTTGAACGGTCCTTTGTCAATCATTCGCCTGCTTGCTGCAGGAGTGTGTAATGTATGTTTTTGGGGGTTTTCACGGGTTTAGTTTTAAGTCGCGCACCACTTCGGCTCCTCAATCTTGCACCCTGGGCTGTAATGCCTAGTTCTGCAGAAGTAGTAGAAACACCCACCGTGCACTTCGTTTATATTTGCATCAGAAAGAACCCGGAAGACCTGTTCCCATTGTCGCTCACCGTTTCCAAGTCATGAGTCCTCAGCCCCGTCGCCGGTGTCCTCAATCTCTGTGGGCTTACTGAGTTCACTGGCTTCGGCTGTATCCAGAAACGCCAATTACGACAGCTTGAAGCCTGTGGTGACGGAACAGTGCATCCTGTAAAGCCCATAAAGCCAAGGCGGCGTAGCAACGGCAGCCTGGAACGGATTCATCTCCGTCTTCATGCTCCAGGCTTGCTGCACCTGCAATTCAGGTCATTCCTTCAGCAGCAGCAAGACCAGGAGGAGGAGGACCAGGAGGAGAAGGGGGGAGTAACAGTAGGAGCCGCAAGAGGAGGACGTGTGGTAGTATTATTAGGAGGAGGAGGAGGAGGAGTAGGAGTATGTGTGCCGGAGTAGGAGAGTAATGTCAGTCACATTGCCATAACCGTGTGAATGCTACTACCTGAACTAACCCGGAACGGATGAACAAAAACAAGGCCCTTGACTTCCAGAGAATTGGCCGAGCTGGTTCCTTTAGCTTCTACAAGGGCCCACATCAGGCATTCTGAGTTCCGGAATCAGGCGGCTCCCTTGTATTTTAGCTTCGGGCAAAGAGCTAAGGCTTTGAAAGGAATCCTTAAACTAAGCGGTCATAAGCACGGTTTTTCCTTCGGTTTTGGGGTTTGCTGCAGGGTTTAGGGGCTTAGGTTGGTAGCCAAAAGGTTCGTTGTGGTTATTACGGAGGTGAGCATGTGTCTCTTCCGCATTGCAGGTGGTGAACAATATATGTTCCTTACTTTCGCCGACGGCTCCTTTTCCTGTAGGGTGTAGTGGTTCCCCAAAAAGCGAACTGCACAGGGACGCAGACTTCTGCTCCAACTGCCCGACCCTCTCAAATACAGAAAATCAACATCTAAACATCGAGTTTATAGACCCAGAGCAAGCAAGACCCTGTATCGGAACCCTTGTAGGGACTCACCGCAGGCCTGGTTCCCCACTTCGGCTGAGGCGCTGTTGGAGTTGTGTGGTTGATTCAGTGTATGTTATCTTCACTTAGAGGGGGCAAACATAGAGGTTGCTGCTTTTCTTAGGCCCTCATGGGTTCGATAGGGGTTGTGCAAGGGTGTTACGAGGGCTTTCTAGGAGCTGTACACGCTTCTACGGGTTTTGCAAGGGTTATCTATATGGGCCAGAAGAAGGGGGCTATCATACCTGATCACTGATAATGCTATGTTCTTGACGTAAAGCCCAACAAACCCTTGTCTGATTGCTCCGGCCTCCTCAACAGTCGTTTCCGTTTTTAGGAGGGTTTCAGAGGATTTTGCACGGATTCTTTCCGGTGGAGAGGGTTTGGGGATTGCTAAAGCCAGCCCCCCTTCGGGTGTGGGTTTAGGTTTCTGGTTGAGGGTTTAAGGCTAAGCGTTTAGGGTTCAGGGACGAAAAAGCTGTAACATGCAGGCTTTTGTCAGGTTTTCCTGTCCAGGTCAAGGGCGGCATCTCGCACAAGCCCGGAGGAGGGCACTGCAACATCATGGTAATCGCAGGAATGCTGAAGCCTCAGAGCCAAAGCTTAAATGCTAGAACCTGCAGCCGCAAAAACGGTACCCCCGAAATGTACAACCGCAACAGGGTGAGCCGAAAAGCTGGTGAATCCCTGTGGCCTTTCTTCCGCCAGGTTTGGAACGCCCCCACCTGGTTCCTCTCGGCCCTCTCGTTTTCCCTATGCGCGCTTCCCTATGGCCTTCGCATCCTCGCCGGGTGAGCGTGGCTGCATTGGGTTCCGGGCTTCGGCTCTCTGAACCCGAAGCGTTAAAAACCATGGGCCTGAACCTTAAGCCGTAAACCCCAAGCTTAAACCCCAGGGCCCCGAAGCCCTGCAAGTCTGGGACCCCGAACTCGAACCCTAAATCATAAAGCCTACCGCAAGCCTCAAAGCACTGAACTTAGCCAAGAAAGCCGGCCTACATTTTCTCAGACAGGGTTTAGGCTTCCGAAGGTCTAGGCTCCAAATCCGAAGCCCGAGGCTCGGAAAATCCTGTCAACCCCAGAATTTGGGGCTCAGGGATGCTTAGGGTTTCTGCGTTGAGGAGCTTGCGCAGGGCTTGTTTGGGGCATCAGGAGCGTGTTCTGAACGCTCTTGCGATCGAGCTGCTGGGTTTCAAGATTTAAGGCTTGGTATTCATGGTCAAAGTTTTTGGGGATGAAGCCTCGCTAAACCTGAGCACTTTCATCTCTAATTCCTAACCTCGGGCGCTGTAAGTCCACAAACCTTGAAGAGCCTTGAAGCTAATCCCAGCCAAGTGACGGCTGAATTGTAAATCCTAAACCCTAACATCATGCCGAGGCCGTGGGTTCAAGGTGGTGGTTGTGGTCGTGGTCGTGGTTGTCGTCGTCGACGTCGAAGTAGTTTTCTTAGTAGTAGTAGTAGTAGTAGCAGCAGCAGCAGCAGCAGTTGTAGTAGTAGCAGTAGTGGTAGTGGTAGTCGTAGTCGTAGTCGTAGTCGTAGTCGTAGTGGTAGTTCTAGTGGTAGTGGTAGTGGCAGTGGCAGTGGTAGTGGTAGTGGTAGTAGTCGTTGTGGCAGTAGTAGCAGTAGTAGTAGTAGTAGCAGCAGCAGCAGCACCAACAGCAACACGAGGGTTTGTTTGGTTTGGAGCTTGGAGACTTCGTGGTTGGTTAACCAAGGCCCAATGACTCACGGAGGATTTAGGCCACAGGTGGAGGTGTGGCCTCTTTCTTGTCTTGGCCCAGGCAGAAGAAGGAGGAGTTGAGGAGCTGAGTTTCGGATTTGGAGTTTACATCTCTCGGACGCGTCGTGGCTTCTGTGACGAAGCTCTGACTTGGCTTTAAGCTTCGGCTTGGAGTTTGAAGGTCGGCTTTATGGCTTTCCGTGTGTTGTTGTTGTTGTTGGTGGTGGTGGTGCTAGTTCGCCTTAGGAGAAGCATTGTAGCAACGGAGGTATGTTCATTCCTCGAGAGTAGGATGCTTATGCAGCACCCTGTTGTCAATGCGTCACAACAGATGGACTAACGGCTAACCAAGTTCCTGCAAAGCCCTGATCCTGTTCTGGGTGTTCCACTCCCGTCGAGTGTGCGCAGGAGAACACTTGTCATCCTCACCCTGCTGAGCTTGGTGCCGAAGGTCTGCCATCCAGTTGTGTCTAAGCGACTGCACGGAAGGGTTCTTTTCGAGAGCTCCCCGCATATCTAAGCCCAACCCCTGAGACCACGCCTGCACCGTACCTTAAGCAATCATGTCCCCTTTTGGTTGCTCTTCTTCAAGGTAACAGGCTGGAAATGCGGCAACAGGTTTGGAGGTGGAAATGGTGACAGTAGTAGTAGTAGTAGTAGTAGTAGTAGTAGTAGTAGTAGTAGTAGTAGTAGTAGTAGTAGTAGTAGTAGTAGCAGTAGCAGTAGCAGTAGCAGTAGCAGTAGCAGTAGTAGTAGTAGTAGTAGTAGTAGTAGTAGTAGTAGTAGTAGTAGTAGTAGTAGTAGTAGTAGTAGTAGTAGGAGTAGCAGTAGCAGTAGCAGTAGCAGTAGCAGTAGTAGCAGTAGTAGTAGTCGTAGTAGTAGTAGTAGCAGTAGTAGTAGTAGTAGTAGTAGTAGGAGTAGTAGGAGTAGTAGGAGTAGTAGTAGTAGTAGTAGTAGTAGTAGTAGTAGTAGTAGCAGTCGCAGTATCAGCAGCATCAACAGCAGCAGCACTTTTAGAGAAGGAGGAGGAGTAGCGTTGCGGCTGTAGCAGCAGTAGCAGAAGCAGTGGACGTAGCATAGGTAGCCGCGGTAACAGGAGCTACGGAAGCAGGAGGCCGAGGAATATTTGTGAACATAATTAAGAAGCGAAGACCGGACCTCATGTTTGCACGACGTGGCCGCCCCGTTCCCCTCAGACCCCGGAGCAACTTGCCAACAAATAATGCTCGTAAATCCTATCATGTCATCGAGCCGAGCCTTTAGGCCTTACACCTCGAGCATTCGGAGACCTCAGCCCTGATACGGAACTCCGAAATCCTGAACCTTGGAGTCTTGGTCATCAGGTGGCCTACAGCAACGACCTGCATGCCTGGGGCATCATGGAAGGCATGCTAAACGCATGGCCCTTGGCGTTGAGCTTTTGTTGTTTGGGGCCCCGGGCGAAAACCCTAAAACCATAAACGCCTAAACGCCTGAATTTCCTACTCCTAAACCATTCCGAGGCCTACGCCCAAACTCCTGAATCCCCAAGGCTTAGCATTTGAGCTTGGGAGTGTCGGTTTGGAGGTTTCGCGTGACGAGGTTGCTGAGAGACGTATGGTTTAGGTGTTTCCTCTCAAACCACTTTAGGGCTCTACAACGGATCCATAAGGGTTCTTGAAGGGTGGCGGGTTTAGGGTTTAGGCTTTTAGGGTTCGGGTGTTTAGGTTTAGAAGTTTAGGCTTTAGGCTTATGGGCTTAGGAGTTTTGAGGGTTTGTGCTGTTCAGAGTCATGGCATCCCATGCTGAGCCATAGGCACTCAAAGTTTTAAGCCTCATGGAAGGTCTTGTAGTTCGGTTTCAGGACTTGTGGTCAGTAGCACTCGAAGAGGAAACAAAAAACATCCACCTGTTGGACCATTGGAGGAAGCAGACATAAAAAGCCTGCCCAGTGTGTGCATGCCGTTATGCTCCTTTCTGCAGCTGGAACGTCTTTTTCTTTCTGCAGTTGCGCCCGGACCCCGCGATGAAGATCCAGACGAGCCTGCTCGCTCCAAGCAAGCTTTTGCGAAAAGGGGTCGATTTCCAAAGAAAGGGACCGAATCGGAGCCAGGTGCTGTGAAGTGTGATGGCCGCATGCCGGTTTCAATAGCAGAAGCGCCTGGGCTAATCTACCTCTTTGAAGTAGCTTAGGCAGCATGGCGGATAAGCCCTAAACCTCAAGCCCCCGAACCCTAAACCATGAACGAAAACCACACAGGCAGATGAAACGAATTAAGGCCCTGTGTAAGGGCCTGGGACCCCTGCCGAATCACCACGGATGTTTTTCATGAGTCTGCGTGGAGAGTGGCAAAAGCATTCCTCCAGCGACCGACATGTAAGAGACAGATCTGAATGCTCAGAGTGCAGAAGTGGGAGCAGTGAGGGTGGCGACTTCCTTACTTCAGCGACAGTATCGAGTTGCAAGAGTCACAGCAGCAAGGATTTTCTAGAAGCGACGCCCTGAACTCCAAGAGACCTCAGAGCCCCAAGCCCCAAACCCAACCCAAACCCCAGAAGCTCTAAGCGCCCCGCGAGTTCTGAGCCCAGAACCCGAGGGTCCCGAAGGCGCTGAGAGCCCTCAGCCATTTCCCAGGCCAAGACCCACCCTAACTACGCGCTCTTCAACAGCATCCGCTTCAGCCCGCTGGGCGCGCTGCTCGAGGTCCTCCCCTGCCGCCCAGCGCGTAGGGCTTTTGGGTCGTCGGCTGTAAGGCTTTGGGCTTGGGGTTCAGGGCTCAGGGCTGAGAGCCTTCGGGAGTTTTTTTGGGAGCTACGACCTGAAAGAATCCCGGACCCCTAATGCCGAACCCTCAACCGAAAGCTACATCTCCACGGCCTGTAACTGAGCCTGAGCCTTAGAGGCAAAGCTGTGAGGCCTTTTGGGGTTCGGTGGTTTCCGCCAGATCTTTTCTTCTGGTCCCTGTTAAATTTCCACGTGGAGGTCCGGGCCGGTTCGGGGTACATTCTCAGGGTTTCCTGGTTTTGAGCTGTTCTGACAAGTACACTTATAGCCAAGCTCGCACGATATTTTTTCCCGGTACACCCATGCGGACCGGGGGGGGACATCGGTGAGAGGGTGATATAAGGGTCTGGTAATAGTTAGCGATGGCATACCTACGACTTCTGTGATATAGGTATAACCGAAAGTTCGCAAAACCCTGGTCAGTCTCATTATCCAGGACTACCATCGTTCCCTCTCATTAGGATTCAAATCTTTTTTGCTTACCAGTGTTGCCTATACTCGCAACATTATGGGGCCACTCTTGTAACTAGTTTCCAACTCTTGCATGTACTTTGGAAGTAAGATAGCAGCATCCCTTTGTGTCTATCCTCTATCTTGATTTTGAAACCTGATCCGGGAATCCGGCCTCAAGAATGTCCTCACACAAATGCAGAAACGTCGGTGTGTCGTCTTGCCCCGGAGCCACCCTGAACCTCGAATCCCGACATGCTTCAAGGCGAAATCCTGAAGCTAGCCGAAAGTGTTACCCTTTTCAATCCCAAAGCTTCAAGGCCAAAAGCCCTAGACCCTCAAGCAAGACCAAGTATTTTCAGCCCGATTAAGCCTTTGAAACAGTATCCCATTACAGGTTGCTCTACAGTTATGGAACATCATACCTCACAGCCTTATTCCAATCAGAAAGGGCCCTATACTACCCACCCCCATGCCATAGCCCGCGACCTTTTTTGAGAGACGCTGGGTTCAAACATCAGACTTAGGCGTGCAGCCTGGCACGCGTGAGGTTCAGAGTCTTCTTTGTTCAGTGATCCCAAAGAGCCCAACTTGGTCCGTAACCAGGGTGTATGTCTGAAACTCTGTTTTTTGGGAAAGAAGTCACGTGCCATTGAAGCAGCAGGTTCCGATTCTCTTTCCTGGGGCTTGTATGTACGGTGCTCACGGATTTCGCTGGGTTTAGGCTCTGTACAGTTCTAAGGACCTCTGCTAACAGACAAGGAGCATTGCAAGTGGGTTTGGGCTCTAACCCCCTCCCCCTCATACGTCTTGTCGGCATGGGCCGAAAGTGCGGCAGCAGCCCGCAGGCCCGGGGAGGGACCCCTGTCCGTGCATCGTTTTCAGTGCATACGTTACTGCGCTCTAGGCTTTTGTCGAGTTTAGGGAACTGACCCCAAGACTCCGAACTGAATCCTGACCCGAGCACTCATATCCCAGAGTGCCAGACTGCTAGAGGTGCTGAGGCAACGAATTTGTGGCGTTTCTCAGCCAGTCTTTGCAGAGACCCACGTGTCGCTGACGTTGTCGCTACCTGCACAGCTCTTGTTGCTGCTGCAACACTGCCGCTGGTGATGATGATGATATCGGTGACTACGATGACGACGATCATAAAGTCGCGAATGACGTCAATGATGAAACTCTGTTCAGGATTCATGATGTCGACAGTCACGGTTTTCTGACTGATTCGTGCAGTTGCTAGCATGCAGAGTTTCAGCATCGTTCTATTCTCGTGGTCTTTCTGTTTGTATCATCATGTTTCCGTTGCCAACATGCTCGTCTACACTGTCTCAGTCCTCGATGCCCTGTGTGGGCAACCAGCCCGAAATTCAGACTGATTGATGGAATTCTTGTCAGAGGCCGAGTTACAGAGCAGGAGACTGCTTGTTGTCTCCTGAAAATTAAATACTGAGGATCGAACAATTTCTTTAGAAGCCAGAAAATTCGTACGATTATTCCTTGCGTGCTATGACGATGTTTACGTAAAGGACCCCCTTAGAGCCTAGTCTCGTTCTGCCGGATCCACACAGGAGAAAAATTCTGGTGGTTCTTCTTAGACTGCGGAATGTACCGTAAACTGCCGTAAACCATGATAGGAAGCCGGTCATAGTGCAAGGTCTGCTCCTTACTTGTTAGTCCTACAAAACGTTCGCAAAACCACACAGACAAGCTTCACGAGCTTTGCAAGTGTAAGACATACCCCTGACTTAAGACTGGACTCGTATTTTGGGAACACCCCAATCCTTTCCGTCATCCCGAGACCCTCAGTCCCAACCAGAAACTAAACACCCACTGCAATGGTTTGAAGAGTCAGCAGTAAAGGCTTCATACAAGTCGACAAAGATTCTGAGCTAATTCGTGGCATGTCCCGGTATGAGCCCTGGATTAGCTGTTCTAATGACGAAGGCCACTATCGTGAATGATAGTTGTTCCCGAACTCATTAATGTGCTCACAACGCATAAATCCCCAAACCCTGATCTACTAATTACTGTACTAATTTGGAGTTGTACAATTGGCTTTATGCCCCTGCTCTTGTCCCATGGAGGCGGCAGCCAAAGCTTGCAGCCGGGCTTGAGACTTGGGGATCCAGTTTCTTAAGCCCCTGCCCTAAACGCATCTTTCGGATTTGCCGTTTGGAGCTTTCAGGATGTAGGGTTCATGCTTGAAGGGTTTTCCAGACTAGGTATGTCCAGGGTGAGGCTTGTGGCCCTGTTGGTCGAGGTTTGGATTGACATGCTTTTGCTGGTCTGCTAGAGAAGGTTCTGGGGTGTTTGGGCTGGGGTAGTGGGGTGTAGTGTCTCAGTTAGTGGGGCGTAGGGTCTGTTTGGGGTTTAGTCAGAGCTGAGATGCACTAGCAGGGAAAGGTTTCTGAATACTTTGCTAGTATTCCCTGTTCGTCCCGATATGTTTATAAGTTATAGTATAACATACCCAAGACCGAATTCTCAAATCATATAGACCCTATAGATGGCCGAAGCGAAGGAGGGGGGGTTCGATTCTTGCAAAAGCTGATCTCCCAAGCCTCCGTCGGGTTAGAGGGAGGGCCCAGAGTCGGATTTCCAGGCTGTAGACGAGAGTCTTAGGTTTCTGGGTTTGAGGTCATTTTTGTCTCAGCTTTGGGGGTTCGATTTGGAATTGGGGTCCTAGTGTTTGAGGGCTTTAGCACTCGGAGAGTTTAGCCTCTCGCGGTTTGTTTCCGGTTTGTGGACCTCGTCGCCGCGCCCCTGCAGGCCCAAGCCGTGAGAGAGCAAGATCGGGCAGGGCAGGCGAGAAGAAGCTCAGAACACTGCCTCTAAGGGCTCACCCTGAATCCAAGCCCTAAACTCCAAACCCGAAGCCCTTAAGCCCTACATCGGAAACCCAAACCCCCTTAACCCGAAGGCCTTACTCCCTCCGACATCTCTGGGCCTAAGTTCTCAGCCCGTAGCCCCAGAAAGCTTCTACACGTGACAACAGCACGAACGCAGGGACCAAACATACTGATGAGGATAGTATTAAGAAAGGCATCGCCCGCAATGTGAGTGCGGAGCATACTGTCATACTAGCCCTAGTTGCAAAGAGCAATAAGTGGCAACAAGCATGCCGGTGGTAACGACAGTGCGAGCTATGGTTATATGACGACCAAGCAGCATCATCGGATCACGAAAAATATCTATCATGCTCAAAAAGAAATAAGCCCTAAACCCCACCACAAACTCAAAGCCCTTAGCCATAGAGCATATAATCAAAAACTTGATCCTTCGAACTCCGACGGCGTGGGGTTCATTTCGGCAGTGCCGCAACCCAGATGCATCGATGGACTGTACGAGGTTTTTTGATAGTTCGTAGCCCTATGCTGGATGTGCAGTGGTACCTGGCCGAGGCTTTCCCCCAAGGCCCGCAAGCCGCAAAGCCGCAAACGTCCCCAAAATCAGCTCTTAAAGCTTTGAACCCTGTAATAAAGCCTGGAGAAACTCCAGAACTGGTTCCCTCCAGCCACGACACCAAAAAGGCAGTACAATATCGTGAACTTTTGATATGAATCCGGTAGAAGCGATCGAAACCTTGCAAGAGCTCTGCTCCTGATAATGGGTTTTTAGGTTCTGGGCTTGATTCAGTCAGAAGCTTTAGGGTTTAGGGTTTGGGGGGACTCAGACGGATTTGGCAGGGCTTTCCGTTTATGATTGCTTTTTACGGGTGCCATTGGGCTGATAAAGGTGATTGACTGAATCCATCAATGTTCAAGTCAATGTCTCACCGCTAAGCAGGGATGAAGTCTTGAATTCTTGATTCTTCTAGCCTGAACCGTCAAACTCTAAGGTCTGATCGGGGCCCAGGGTGTCACGGCGACAGAGAGTTCTTCCAAGAAGCAAGCCGGAGCGACCTTGCAAACTCGACGCTTAGGTACCGTTTTTTGCGGCGGCCGGGCAAATGTCCTTCAATAAGAAGGCACGAGAGTTCGGGGCTGACGGCTTTGGAGTGTGGCTACGTATTCTTGATTGTGAAGCATCAAGAAAACCTCCTCCTCCTCCTCCTTCTCATCATCATCATCATCATCACGAACCTGAAACTAAGCTCCAGTCCAAAACCGTCGTGCAGATGAACAGTGTGGGTGTCTCCGCCCTCCTTCGGGAAGCCCAGGCTTTTTTTTTCCAGTTTCTACGTTAGGTTGCACAGGGTTTGATATTGCCACGGCCGCATGACAGAGAAGGCTCAGGGTTCTTTAACTCCAAACCCAAATACCTTCACTCTCTAAACCTTCAACGCTTTCCTCCAGGTACGTGCTTAACCGTAACCAAATCTGCAGACTGAACTCCGAAGCATGCCAACCCAAGCCCTAGAGTTGAAACCTTCGGCCCGAAATCCCAAAACACGACGTAGACCCTTAGCCCGAAATTGAAAACCTCCATGTTAAACTGGGGCATTTTTTGGGATTGAGGTTGGGCTTTGAAGTTTAAGCTGAGTCACCGCAGGGTTTAAGGGTTTGGGATTTTTGGGGGCTAACGGGTTGGTGCTTTAGGACTTTTTTGGAGTTTAGTGTGTTGGATGTTCAAGGTTTGAGGGTTCTGGCGGCTTCTGCAAAGTTAGT